CACACAAATATTCATTTTAAAAATATAGTCTACAAAAACACCTTGGGCGCAGGGAGTTTAAGCAACCATGCTATATTATTATCCAAACACACCCATCTAGAACTGGAGTGTTCCAAGGTCTTGGTAACCCCCAAAACACTGAAGATTTTCAGGTAGCTGTGATGACAACACCCCCAAATCTGAAGCTGTAAGTCTGCCAGAGGGTTGGAGGGAGCTGACAATTCTATGCCAATCAGACCCATCAGTCGGGCCACTATTTACACTGAAGCCATTATTTACAGGATTGGTTTCTGGTGAGGACTCTTTCTGGCTGGTAGTTGGCTGCCTTCTCTCTGTGTCCTCACATGACCTTTCTTCTGGGCATAAGCACAGTTCACGGGGGTGAGAGTGGGTAGGGGAGAGAGGGAGAGCTCTCTGATATTTCATCTTATGAGGACACTAATCCTATTTGATCAGGGCCCCACCCTTATGACTTCACTTATCCTTAAAAACTTCCTGAAAGGCCCCATCTTCTAATATAGCCACTCTGGAAGTTAGAACTTCAGCACATGAATTTTGGGAGGACACAAACATTCAGTTCATAACTGCTCTAAACAGGATGGTCTGTCTTTCAAACCCTACTCTGTTATAAGCCATCTGTATGACCTTGAAGAAGTTCCTTTAACTTTTCTAAGCATCAGTTTCTTTGTGGTAAAACTGGGGGCAATAATAGTATCTATCTCAGGGCATTGTAAGGATCAAAGAAGATAATGTATATGGTGGGCACTGGGAAGGGTCCAGAATATAGTAGATGTTTGCTAATTGTTAAGATCATTATTAGAATCCTCTAAATTCTGAGAATGAGTTTCCTCTATGGTAGTCCTAGGAGTCTAGTCCAGTCCGGAGTTCCAGGACTAAAGCAGGTTTCTGTGAATGGGATCCCCCAACCAGAGAGGCTGCAGGACTCCCCAGATTTGTGGGAGCCCAGCCTCTTCAGAGCCTGGTTAGCCTTCAGGGATTTCCAACGGAGAAGTGGAAAACGATAAGGTGAGCCATGGTGGCAGCCCAAGTGTTCTAGAGAAGGATTCAGTGTTACAGCTATCGGGAGCAGGTCTTTTTTTCATCTCCTCACATAGAGGATGGCAGAGGGAGGGACTGAGCCCACTGGACATTAGTGAAAGGTCATGTTGGATTCTTTCTGGCTTCTGTAGCTTAAAAAACCTTCTTAACACAACTTTTTAGATTTTGAAAGGTAATACAAGTTTAATGTATAAAGTCTGAAAAATATAAAAAACTGTCAAGAACATAAAAATTATCTGAAATCCTTCTACCCAGAGTAACTCTGATAACCTTCCCTGTAAGTCCCAGACCCTGGAGTTGTATGACCTCTGATGGGTTACCTGTTATTTCAAAACCTCTATTTCCTTCTCTTAAAATAGGTCTAATACTTGCCGCCTTGTTCTTGCTTCTTGGGGTTGCTGTGTGAATTAAATTCCAGGCACAAAGTGTTAGCTTACTAAGAGCCTTATTACTATTGTTACTATTGAAGAAGACACCCTTGGCTTATGATGATTCCAGCATCACAGCTCAGACAAGAAAGCCTGGTAAATCATTATCACATCATTCTTCCAGGGTCTCCACCCTCCAGGTGTGTGCTATGAGTATGTGTTTTGGATTAATAAGCAAATCAATATTCTCATTTACCATGCTGACATAATGACTGTGCAGCAATTTCCCAGCATAAATATTCCTATTTTCCATCTTACTTAAAGTTCTTTTCAAAGGTGAGGATTATATATTTGCACAGAGGGTTGTGTGTGTCTTATCACCATTATTTCTTGCTAAGAACTTGCACCTCTCCTTTTGTGGCCACTTCTGGCCTTGGAAGGAAGAGATTGCATCTCTGAAGACTTTCGAGGCTTCCTTTGGCCAGAAAGGTTTTGTTCATCACCTAAGAACCAAATTCATTTCCTGATTATTGTGTATTAAATTAAAATTCTAGCTTTCAGATTTTAGGACAAAAGTTCTCCTGACATATGTCAGCTTTATTCCAGCTTCAAACAACAGGCTTATTGCTGTGACAGTCCTGGTCTCCTCGATTCCTCCCTGCTGCCTTTTTCCAGTTCCTTCCACACTAGGGGAGGGACTCCTTCTCCCCAAAGGTCAGAATGATGCCTGGCAGGGACCAGATGTTCATGGGAGACAATGTAAGGAAAGGAGGCTTACTCCCAGCCACCTGTCTTATTTCCCAGCATCTCCCAGCAGCAGACCCCAGTGGACCAGCCTCTCCTAACAGCAAGAGGACCTGACAGTCTAAGCTGAATTCAGACTGTAAACTTTCTTGGTGTGGAGATTCCATGCACTCCAGCCTGGTCAATTTGACAAAAAAAAACAAACAAACAAACAAACAAAAAACTGCCTAACCAAGTGAGTTCAGGAGAGCAGGCTAAGCTCTCCACCTGGCTGACTTATTTCCTTATAAGAGTTATTCCTTCAACAGATTGTAAGACCTTTTCATGCTGGGACACAGGCTTCCTGTACTTTGGCTGGTGGCAGGCAAAATAAAATGATGAGGATGAGAGATAGAGTGACGCTTTCTTTGCTCTGTTCACAGTGATGTGCTGTATTTGAAGAGGGATGAAAGTTGAGCATTATCCTATATACAGAGTTGCCAAATGTCCCAGACAACACATGTGGAATTGCCCTACTGCTTTAAACCATTTGATTGTTGGGTGCACAAGTATCACTAGAGGCGGCCATTCATTCATTTTTTTTTCACAGTTTGAATTTCCTGTTCTGGATGCTGGGGGTGAGGACTGGGCAGATACAGTGCTCACTACTATGCCTTTGACTTTGAGGACTTAGTCCAGAGGTGGAGACAGATTCCAGTGCCATGAAGTCAGTGAAGGTACAGAGGGAGTCAGGGAAGACTTCTCAGAAGAGGGGACAATTGATTGGATCCTTAAGAATAAGTTTACTGAGTAAAAATGTTGGCTTTCTTTGAGCCCACAATGACGTTGCAGTGTCATTGTGGGAGGGAGGTATATCTCCCTCTGCTTGGTCAGATTTATATTTTCTAAATCTAAATGAAAATAATTTCTATTCAGATATGGAATGGTCAAGAGAGTTGCCAAAATCGACCTGCATTAAACATGTGTATCAATTAGGGGAGAACTGACATCTTTACTATGTTAAGTCTTCCGATCCATGAACATGGAATGTCTCTCCACTTATTTAGATCTTTGATTTCTTTCACCAGCATTTTGTACTTTTCAGCATACAAATCCTATATGTATTCTTAGATTTATGCCTAAGTATTTCAATTTTCTTGAGCATCTATGTGTTCATTGCTAGTATATAGAAAAACAGTAGCTTTTTGTATGTTGATCTTATACCTTGTGACCTTGCTGAATTCACTTATTTGTTCTAGGAGATTTTTTTGTAGATTCTTTGGGATTTCCTGCATAGCCCCTATCACGTCACCTGCAAATAAGAACAACTTTTTTATTTTCAGTTGATACATCTTTCATTTCATTTTCTTTTGTCATAGTGCTAGCTAGGACTTTCTCTATTGAATAATAGTGGTAAGAGTAGACATCCTTGGCTTATTCCCAGTTTAGCAGGGAAAATGTTCAGTCTTTCGTCATTAATTCTGATATTAGCTACAGGTTTTTTGTTGATGTTCTTTATCAGCTTGAGGGTGTTAACTTCTATTCCTACTTTCCTGAGAGTCTTCAGCATGAATGGGTGTTGTATTTTGTCAGGTGCTTTTTCTGTATCAATTGATATGATTGTGTGATTTTTCTTCTTTAGCCTGTTAATATGGTGGATTACACTGATTTTCAAAAATTGAGCCAGCTTTGCATCCCTGGAGGTAATCCCATTTACATGGGTGGGGTTTTTTAATTCTTTTACATACTGCTAAATACTGTTTGCTGAGGTTTGTTAGAAATTTTTGTATCTACATTCATGAGAGATATCACTTTAGAGGTTTTATTTATTTATTTATTTTTGGTACTGTCTTTGTCTATCTTTGGTATCAGGGTAATACTGACTTCATAAAATGACTTGGAAAGGTTTCCTTCTCTATTTTCTGGAAGGGATTGGTGTTAATTCCTTAAGTGTATGGTAGAGGTCTGTGGCTTTTGAAAAACGGATTCTGGGGGCACAGCCTGAACCAAATAAAGCTGAGTCTTCAGGGGTGGAGCTTGAGCATGGATGCTTTTCAAAAGCTCCTCGGATGTGTTAATCAATATGCAGTCAGCTAGGGAGCTTCAGTGTGGTAGTAGACTTCTTGATGCAAACACAGGAGGGTGAACTGCAGCAGAATCCATCTGAAGAATGGCATGAATTAAACAGCTGTGAGGCTTGGAGAATTTGGCCCTCTGAGACACACCCCAGGAGCCTCCGATATCTCCAGAACCATATATGGTTTAGTGGGGACATTCCTCATGTAAGGCCTCTGGGTTTGACTTGGCTAGTTAGTAGCCATAAATTCCTTAATAGCAATTTCAGTTTTCTCATCTGTGAAATGCCACTTCTTGGACTGTTGTAGTAATAAAATGAGAACCCGGGTCTCCCACATTGGAGGTGGATTCTTTACAGTCTGAGCCACCAAGGAAGCCCAAAATGAGACAAGAGATATGAAAACTCTTTACAACCCCCACATCTTGAGAAGCTGAAAACTGATGTTTCTTTGGGTTCTCATTTCAGTTCAGTTCAGTTCAGTTGCTCAGTCGTGTCTGATTCTTTGCGACCCCATGAATTGCGTTTGGGTTCTAGCTTTACCTTAATTGCCGCAGTGTCAAGATTCCCAAGTAGTCCTGCTGTGAGGTTAGCGAGAAGCCTGTGACCGCAGCTGGCTGGAGGACCCGTGTCCTCAGGCTATGGAGAAATTTCTTCCCCATCCCTGCCCCCTCAACTCTGCCCATTGATCTTGGGCTCTCACAGGAAGGGGTGGGACCTTGGTGACCATGAAAAGGGACTTTGACCAATGCCCGCCTCTCACCTTTCACAGGAACATGCTTGCCAATTCAGCCAGTGTGCGGATTCTCATCAAGGGAGGCAAGGTTGTGAATGATGACTGCACCCACGAGGCTGATGTCTACATCGAGAATGGCATCATCCAGCAGGTGGGCCGTGAACTCATGATCCCTGGAGGGGCCAAGGTGATTGATGCCACGGGGAAGCTGGTGATCCCTGGAGGCATCGACACCAGCACCCACTTCCACCAGACCTTCATGAATGCCACGTGCGTGGACGACTTCTACCATGGGACCAAGGTAATGCTTCTGGGTGCTGAAGGTGCTTCCTCGGTGGTGTCCTCTGTTTTTGGGCCTGCTCCAGGCTATACTCTCATGAACAGTGTGCTCCCACTGTATTGCTCAAAGAAGAAATTTGGCCTTCAAAGGGGCCACTGTGGCAACTAAAACAGGAAATTTTGGGCTAAATGTCATAGATTTCCATGATTATGGAAAAAGGAGGCATTTAGGCCCATTTTGCCAATCTTATCACTTAAGTGAGGTACCGAGGCCAGGAACTGATTTTGTTTTTATGTTCTTATGTCGTGTAGTGCCGATCTAGAGGAGGAGAATTAGTTTTGTTTGTTATTGTGCATGTATGTGAGAGGTGGGGGCAAGGAGGTTGGTCTAATGGACTCCTTTATGTATGATAAGCTAAATTAATTTCCCCCAAGTTGTGAAAAATAGATATGCTTTTCTAGATGATTTTAATGGTAGAAATTATGAAACAGACATAGTTAGCTATCTTTGATTATCTTTCCTAGCTTGTTATTTTAAAAAACAGCTTGGAAGCCAATGGTGGTGGGCCCTCTTTCCAGAGTGAGTTATCATGGACAATATTTAAGGTTTACTGAGCTGGGCTGGAGCTACTTCAATGCAAAATACAACAATTCAGACCTGTGAAACAAATAAATCAGGACAAAATTACATTTTCTCAAAAGCATCACAAATATGTTTTTTTCATCACTTGTCTGTGCTCCAGAATCCTGTCATTGCTGTCATCTCTGCATTGTAATTATCTGTCACATGCAAGCTTCTTTCTGAAGCTCAGACTGTGGGCTCCTTAAGGGCAAGGCCTGACCGTATTCTTCTGTGTTTCTAGCGCCTGACCCTGACCTAGAATTAGAGTAGCTGACCAGTAAATGTTGTTGAATGAATAAGTGATTGACATTTATCCATGTGGGTCTCTACATCCAACTATGCGTCAGATTCACCTATGAAGTTTTTTTCAAATGCAGAATTGAATCAGAATCTCAAGGGCCAGAAGTCCCTGACCTTGGCCACAGCCGTTTGTACAGTCTGATCTATAAAGGACTTAGCCACTAATGCTTCCTGGATAAAAGGAGTCTACTGGCCACTGGCCCAGTGGCTATGGTCCTATGTCCTACTTTGGCCCACTGCCACAAATCCCCAGTGGCCCTGTACCCTAAAATCTCACCTCTGTTCTCTCTGGGGTCCTCAGGGAGCCCCTCTTCCATGCTCAGTGCTCTCTCTGGGATCCATACTCCTGGGGCTTTCAGTGCTCCTCCTACTGGAGCTCCCCAAACCCACCCTGAAGAGCCACGTTGGGGCAAGCAGAGGCTGGCCTTGGAGTTGCAACATTGCAGGCTAGCCCCACCTCAGGCAGGTGGCCCTGAAGATCTCCCTGAGCATATGCCTCCTTCCCAGTCCTGGAGCAGCAGATCAGACCCCTGAAGGCTGAGCTGTGAGGAGTCACAGTGGCCATGGCCCAGCCTGTGCTGAGGCGAGGATGATATCCCAGGCCACAGCTGCCTGCTGGAGCCAAGCCCAGGAAAGAGAGGTGTTTTGTGAACCCTCCCTAGTTTCTCCTCTGAGAATTACTCTGGGGCCCTGCAGGTGATACCTGACTCGTGAAATGGGGAGCCCCATCCTCATACACACTAGCAGGGTCCTCTCAAGGGTACCCAGGTGGCAGACAGGGCCTTTCTGAAGTGAGTGAGCACTTTCAACTCATCATGTCCATGCACTTGAGCCCTGCCAGGCTAGGCCTGCTTTGCTTGTGGTAAATTTTTAAAATTTTTTAAAGTTTTTTTTGCTGCACTTAGTCTTTGTTGCTGTGTGTGGGCTTTCTCTGTTTTGGCAAGTGGGGGCTACTCTTTGGTTGTGGTGCCCAGGCTTCTCGTTGCGGTGGCTTCTCTTGTTGGGGAGCACAGGGTCTAGGTGCACAGCTTTCAGGAGTTATGGCACGTGGGCTCAGCAGTTGTGGTGCATGGGCTTAGTTGCCCTGCAGCATGTGGAATCCTCCCGGACCAGGGATCGAACTCATATCCCCTGCATTGGCAGGCAGTTTCTTAACCAGTGGATCACCAGAAAGCCCTCCAGATATTTTTATTGAAGTATAGCAGACATATAGAGAAGTGCACAGATTCTAAGTACAAAGAATTGTCACAACTGAACCCACCCTTGTGAACAGCACCCAAATCAAGAAACCAAACATTGCCAGCACCCAGAATTCCCCCTTGTGTCCCCTCCTCAGTCACTGCTCCTCACCAAGGAGAACCACTATCCTGACTTCTAATACCATAGTCTTTTTGTTTTGTAAATAACAGCTTAATTGAGAAATACACGCCATACAATTCACCTGTTTAAAGTGCAGATGTCAGTGGTTTTCTGTGTATTCACCATAGGTTGGTTTTGACTGTGCTTTATGTAAATGAACTCAGGCAGTCTGTCCCCTTGTGTTAGCTTCCTTTGCCCAGTATTATTTTTGTGAAATTCACCCATGTTGTTGCACATCATACTTACTTCACTTTCATTGCTTACTAGTATTCTACTGTACAAAAGCCCATGTAGTACCCAACCATTCCACCATCAACAAGGTCGTTAGTTTGGGGCTATTACAAATGCTGTGGCTGTGAATATTGTGTACATGTCATTTAGCAAACGTCTGTACATTTCTGCTGGGCATGTTCCTGAAGGTTGAGAGTGCCGGGTCATAGAAGACACACGTGTTTAGCTTTAGGAGATGCTGCCAAATCACTTTCCAATCTGATTGTAACAATTGACACTCCCAGCAGGATTCTAAGAGAGGCCCTAGTATCTATAATCAGTATAACTCTGATCACCACACCAATGCATGCCAGGGTCTATTCCGCAGTGTGTACCAAAAATGGTGTGTGGGGTGCTGCCTTGCTCCAAAATTGTATCTTGCTGGTTACTGTCCCCCCTCCCCCTCCTTGAGAAATCTTTACTCCACAGTCAGATGCCATGCTGTCACTGTGCTGCCTACCAGTCTCTGGGAGGGCAGGCTGGCCTTCTTTGTCTTCTTTGCCTCATTGTCATCTGCCAGGGCCTCATTAGCCAGGAGTGATGAGTTTTCCTCTGAGAGCCTGCAGCTCTTCATGGCCAGTGAAGACCTTTGCACGTGCACCTTTGCACAAGGCGGTGGGTAACTTCTGATCTTTTCCAAGCTTCTCATCCATGGGAGCAGCTGCCTCTGGAGAAACATATCAAAGCCCCAGTGTGATTTAAAGGCCCCACTTCTCCCGGCCCCTGCAGGTTCAGGCACCCCCAATCCATGCCAGGTGTTAGCTGTAGGAAATGTAAGGCCCGTAGACTCCAAGCCAGCCTGACTGCTTATGTCACCTAAACTGGGCCTTTGTTACGGCCACCCCCTAGGCAAGACCAGACTGTGTGCATGTTTCTCCTTGTGCCCCAGCTCGTATTAAGCGTCTGTTTCATAACACAGCCCCTGACCCAGTCCTCCCGAGACGCCTTCAGGAGACCCTGCCCAGAGCCCTTCCTCAGACATCCCAGCCTCTTAAGACCTGGCTTCCTGCCCTGGTCCTCACTCCCCTCCACTTCCGGATTGCTCCTCCCTTTTGGTACACATGCAGCTGGATTCTTTGGCTTCCTCTTACCTCTAATTCCTGACAGTCTCCTAGGGCAAGAGGTGCTCTCAGAGGCAATGCTGATCTCTGGATGTGTAGGTTTAATTATTCATACAGCCTGTGGCACTCAAGCCGAGCCTGTGCACCCTGGTAGATCGTCACTGACCTACTTCGTACCTTCTAAGAAAGGTAGCAGTTGATTCGCTGTAAGCAGCTGGGTTTATAATAGAATAATAACCCCAAGGAAAAGCTCTCCTGTGTGATTAGCCTATAGAGAAAGAGAGATCAAGTTGCACCTTTTTGTTCTTGTCCGACAGATCTGCAGGGCCTTGAACTCTGCACCCCCTGAGCTATTGCATGCTTGTCAATTTGGCGGCAGCAGCCAGGGCTGGGAAAACAAAACAGTTGAAAGGCTGGCTTTTCTGCGAGCATCTGGGACTCCATTGTACTAGGTCTAAAGGGATTTCTCTAGCACTTCTTTAACAAATGCTTTGCCCGCCTCTGCTTCTGTTAGAGGCTGTGGCAGGCTCTGCCTGGCTCCCCAGCCTCTGCCCCCCCTGCTCACAGCCGGGTCACTTGATCCTCTTGATCCTCCTGTCCGCCTCCTCCACACCCTCCCCACCTGCAGGCCCTTCCCTCTCAGAGGCCCAGGACCCCCTGCTTGTTAAAAATACCCCCTCTGAAGAAGGAGGTTATCTCCTTGGGGAGCCCAGGACAGGAGGGGAGGGAGGAGAGCCAGTGACACCAATTGTGTTAACAAAGGTGTAGAATTTCACTTGGGTCATGGGGGTCTTTTATTATTATTCTGCTTAGCCTACTTATACATTATATTTACTCTTTTGTGTGAATTTAATATTACATAAGAAGAATGTTAATGCAGGCCATTGGGCTCCACCCCACCAATGGCTCTCCATGGTCCGATGGGAATATCAGAATCAGGCTTTTTCAACTACAGGCACAGCCCCTTCACTAAGACAGTGATAAAGGGGGCAGCCATGGACAATCGGAAAAACTTCCTGGATGTCTTTTCTGCCTCTCACTCCTCCAAAGATATTAAGAACTACTGTCCAGGCCAATGGTTTTCAACCTTTGAAAGCAAATGACAGTATAACTACTTGGGGAATTTTTTAAAAATATATGTCCAGGCCCCTCCCCTCTGCTGTCCCCCACCCTTCACCCCAGACCAGTGTCTTTAGGTCTGCCTCTTCCCCCATCAGTATGTTTTCTGAAGCATCCTTGATGATCCTAACACTTGTGTGTGGATTATTAAGGAACTTTCTCGGCTGTTTTGAATGGCATGTTGTCCTGGCTGTTAGCCCTGTTGCCCATCTAACCCTCACCTTATGTGTCAGGCTGATACTTGAATCACCATGGAAAGCCTGAGCCTGCCTCGCCTCACCCTTCCCAGTA